CGTTAACTCTCTCTCTTTAATTTTGACCAACTCTAATGTCTCTTCTTTCTTAAACTAGTTAAGAATGATGGATCTAGGTGTGAGATATCTATTGGTGATAGTGATTGAAGGAGATGTAAGCTAGAGGGTGATCGATTTGGAAAGAGAAGTGTCGGCATGTCTAGTAGGTAAACGGGTCCAAGATATGATTTGGTCGGGTTCTCGTGGGCTATTTGGTATATTTTTAGGTTTCTTATGTTGTTTTATTTTTTCTAAGATCCGTCTTCTTTAAATGGCTGAAAGGATTGGGTATTTATAGGAAAAAATTAAGATTTTACGTAAACATTAATTTTAATCCTAAGTTTATCCAAATTTTTAATTTTAGTGTTGATTTATTTGGTTTTTTTCCTCAATAGTACACGTCTTTTCTTTCAATTAAAATCTTAGGTTTTAATCTTTTTAATTGCACCCTTAATTGAGATTTCTTTGGTCTCCACACTTTGTATTTTTTTAATTGAACCAAAAAATCATTTTTTAAAATAAATCTCTTTTTCTTCTTTTCTTCTTTTTTTTATTTTCTTTTAAACTTAAAAATTTAATTAAATTACTTAAGATAAAAATTAGATGCTAACTGTTGCCTATTAAAAACAATGCTTACGATGCAAAGTTATTGAAAACCATTTTTCTTTAGTTTTGCATCATAAGCTTGTAAAGAAAACCAAAACAAAAATGAAACATGTAAAGCACAAGAAACAATCAAACAAGAGAGATAATCATTAAATTGTAATGATTGTTGACTATTTGATCATATAAATTGAAGTAAAAACATGTGATTGGATGAAAAGAAGATACATTTTGACATGACTTAGGAAGATATATGCTAACATCATTTAAAATGGATACATACCGATATGACTTAAAATATATGCATTTTGATATGGCTTGAAATGGATGCATGCCGACATGTCTTGAATTGGATGTATACCGACATGACTTAAATTAGATGCACGTTGACATGACTTAAAGAGATACATTCTAATATGCCTTGAAATGGATGCATGCTAACATTGCTTAAAATGAATGCATGGTGATGTGGCTTAAAATGAATGCATGCCGATATGGCTTAAAATGAGTATAGCATGCCGACATGGCTTAACGTGGATGCAAGCTAACATGGCTTAAAAGGGATGGATGTTGACATGGCTTAAAGTGGATGTATGCTAACATGGCTTAAAGTTACATGATATACCACATTGACTTAGAATGACATGATAGATCATATTAATTTTATAAGATGTGACGTAACACTCGAATTTGTAAGACGTGACATATTACTCGATTTATAAGACATGTTAAACCACTTTAATTTTATAAGATGTGATAGACCACTCTAGTTTTGCAAGATGTGATAGACCACTCTAGCTTTATAAGATGTGATAAATCACTCGATTTTACAAGACATGACAGCACCATATTGGTTTAGAAGGTTATGACTGATCATGTTTTTTGATAAGATATGACATACCACTTTAACTTGAAAGAATGTGATTGATGATATTGGTTTAGAAGGTGTGACGGACCACTTTAACTTTACAAGATGTGATAAACCATTCTAACTTAGAAGGACATGATAGACCATATTGATTTAAAAGGATGTGGCGGATCATAATTTTTTTGACAAGATATGACGGATCACTTTGACTTAGACCGATGTGATAGACAATATTATTTTGCAAGAATGATAGAACATGTTGATTTTACAAGATATGACAAATCACATTGGTTTAGGAGGGCGTGATAGACCACATTGGTTTAGGAGAGTATGACGGACCACTTTATGAGAGGCATGACGTACCATTTTTTTTCTTATAAAATATGATATATTGCTCTAACTTTGAAGGACATGACAAATCACATTGGGTTAAGAGGATATGACGGACCATATTTTTTAACAAGATGTGACAAAACCACTGCGAGTTAGAAAGACATGACAAATTACATTGGTTTATAAGGACGTGACATACCATGATTTTTTTATAAGATGTGATAGACCACTCCAGCCTTAGATCGACAAGACGGACCATATTGGTTTAGCGAGGTATGACAAACCACATTTTTTAACAAAATATGACAGACCATTCCGACTTACAAGGACGTGACGGACCACATTGGTTTAGAAGGATGTGACGGACCATATTGGTTTTGAATAAGGTATATACCATATTTTTTTATAAGATATGTTAAACCAGTTTGATCTAGATTGATATGATAGATCATATTTTATGACAAGACATGACAACCCACATTGAGTCACTAAGAAAACAAACAAAATACTCGGTAAGTTTAGAGTCTTTAGAGAAACATTAGTCGTCACTACCAAGACATAGTTTTCCTTTTTTTTTCTTCTTTTATGCATCGTCTAGCTTAAATAGGTTCAAAGTTCTAAGCCAACTACTTTCATTAAGCTTGTATGCTTGTATTTTTTATTATACCCTTTGTCTTTATGTTTATGGGGATTGCTACTTGGACAATTACTTGTGTTATTTAAGTGGTTTCTATTCCTCTAACTAAATGAAGATTACTATTCATTTATTCCCTTTTGGTATCGTCCCTAAATGTTTGAAATTTTGCTAGCACATACCAAAATTCTAACCCCAAAATGATCGAGATGGCCTTTTATGTCAACTATCCATAATTCATCCTAGTGAAGCTTATAACAAAATTCATAAAGGAAAACCTTTTGTAGACCATGTCCAAATAAGATAATTATCAAGTTATCATATATCAATCTAATGCATTATCACATTTCATTAATAGTATCAATTATAGAATCATGCATGAGACCAAAGAAAAGAGTTTTTTTTTCTTTCTTTTTTTTTTCTTAAGGAATGATGATACTTATGAAAATAAGGGTTCTTTGAGAGATAAAAGATCATGAATCATATTATGTTAGTCGAGTCAAGAGTAGAGGAACCAAAGTCAAATGATCGTGCTAATAAATATTTGGCCATATATTAGATTATCTCCTTGTTTCTTTGGATAAGAAAGGAGTTGAAAGGTAACACCTTTGACCTAAGACCTAGATAGGTTAAAAATATTATTAGCATTGACTTATATTTTAAGTGCAATAAATAAAAGCCAACAAGCCTCCCCATCGTAACTTAATAATTGCTAGCAAAAATGATGGTTTTCGTGTGAGGTTTCAAATAAATAAGAAGTAATAGGTCCGCATTAATTAAAATTTAGGTATAAAATTTTTCAAAAATTCTTTAACACCAATTAATATTCCAACATCTTGTGTAGAAATATTAAATGTCATAATTTGATCAAAAACTCACATTCTTAGATCCCAATTTAACCGAGTTAAATTGAATACCTTAGATTAAACTAAAAAGAACAATGTCTTTTATTTTTTTCTCAAATTCCTTTTAAAAATATAGATTTAATTAAAATAAAAGATAATCAATATGAAAATAATCCAATTAACTCATTAAACTCAAATTTCATTATTTCTTTGAAAATCTATTTAATTATAACATAAGTAATTTAATTAAATAGTATTCACTATTTACTAAATCATTAAATCTTAATTTTAATTTATTATTTTTATAAAAATTCCATAGGCTAAAAAATCAATTAATTAATTCAATTTAATACTTAATAAATTTATTTAGACACTTAATTTGAGTTTTGATCATTTAAAACGTCTTTCGAACTTATGAAACTTTATTTCCAAATTAATTTTTAACTTACCAACTAAACTAACCCATTAAATTCACTAATTCCTTAACCATTAAATTTCACCTTGTACATTAAGCTTTGAAACCATTTTTATCTTACCATTTTATTTCGCATTCTTTACCATTAAGACTTTAGCTTCGACCAATTATTCATTTAACACTATCATTTATGTATAACTCTATTTAACATCAAAATACCGCAAAAATGGCTATCCCATTTTTTACAAGCCATCTAAATATTTACATCTATACTATTATTTTTACATTTTCATTTTCTATCTAGTCAACCCATAATCTGATGGAAATGATAAAATAGCACTCGTAACCTAAAATATATAATATTATCTCAAAACACACTAACAAGAAAACATGAACTACTCCAACTTGTACGCACAAGTAAGATACACACGTTGGACGAATGGAAAGCTCTCGACAATGATTTCTAGAGAGAAATAAGCCATCATACACTGTTCTTCTTATCTATACTACATGAACTAGGTGAACTAAGCTTAATAAGTACAATCATGCATGCAATGAAAGTTAAATGCATTTTAAAAATTATTTTTATGCATTTATTATTTATTTTTCTTCTCGGATGCACCATGCCAATTATGTGTATAATCGATTTTTTTTAAAAGCATGCAATTGTGAAAAAAAAATCACAAAGCACTAGGTACCTTCCTTTTTTCATTTCCTTTAATCAAACTTTAACCAAACTTACTCGATTTAAATATTTTGGTTTGCTAGTTTTTTTTTTTAATCTTTTATTTGATATTTTTAAATCTTAACTATCTTGTGTCTATAGAACTTTCAATTCAATTTTGATTTGCCACTTCCATCCTACTTCGTCGCAAGAAGAAGAATTAATGGGTAACAAAACTGTGTAGCACATTGAGCTACAAGTCTTTTTGACTTAATTTCCTTTTCATACAAAAACCGACTCCTCTCTCTTAATTTCCTGTTCGGTGGCATTGATAAATGGACATGGAAAATGCATGGCATTGATGAATGGACATGGAAAATATATGCCTCGGCCTTTATTACAGGTACAGTTGTACCATCGAGAGAAGAAAACACAAATTTGAGAATTTGGGGACAAACAAACAGCGTACCAAAAGGAGGAAAAATCTGCACAGGACAAAAAGATGAACTTGTTTGTTTGCTGCGCCGACGCAAATGATTCAAATATGCCTTGCATGATCATTTGCTGTCCCATCAAAATCATCGTCCAATGGGGAACTGTATGCGCCACGTGTACGGCTAGAACCAAAAGAACGCCAAATGAGACTGCAATATCTAAAGAACATGTGTCAAAAGCATAAACGTGCTGCTGTCGCTGCTGCACGTGACCGAAAAAAGCTCAAAAAAATCCCTGAGGACCTGAGGTCAAGGCATGTCCAATTATGGTATTTGCGTCCAAAAGTTTTGGCATAATTCTTAAAAATGTTTCTTTACTTTTTTTAGTTTTTTAAATTTTAATTTTGATATTTGTATTTTCCAAATAAATTGTTCTAAATTTGGTTTTTGAGTCGATACTAACTGTTGTACAATCTAAAATAATTTTTTTTACTTAAACTTATTTAGACAATCGATTGTGTATTCAGTAGTTTTTTTTTTTAATAAAATAAGATTTAAATTTTAATAACTCTAATTTTTTTTATAATTATATAATAGAGGAAAATTAGTTTTTATTGTGTATCCTAAAAATTGATAAATGAATTAAAAAATTAATTTTAATTGATTAGAAAATTAATAGAATATAACCACTAATATGCCTCCTAATTTTTCAAGGTTTAATGATAAATTTTACGTTTATTCTATTGTGATTTGATAATTTTAATCTCATAATACTAAATCTCATAATTTAAACTTCAAAATATTAACAATTGAGCAAATATGATTCAACTTATCCGATTTTCGTTTTGTGTAACCGTCAATCTAATTAATCGTTACTTAGAATGCCAAAATGACCTTTTGGCATTCCATTGCAAAAATATATTTAAAAAAATATTTTTATCCCCTTAATATTGAAATTTTTGTTATAAAATTTTATAAATATTTTAAAAATTATATAAAAAAACACTTTATAAATATTTTTTAACTCCCATAATTTTGATTTTTTTAACTTTTTTTATAATTTATAAAATTAGAGGAGTCAACCCTTAATTATGCACATTTTAATTTATAAAATATTTTTTTAAGGTCTGAAATTGTGTAGTGTTAATTATGCTTTTTTACACTAACATTTTATAATAAAAAAATTAAAAAAAATCCAAAATTAAAGGATTAAAAATATTTATAAAATATTTTTTTTATATAATTTATAAAATATTTATAATATTTTATTAAAAAAATTTTAAAATTACGGTAACTAAAAATATTTTTAATTTAAAAAAAACATAATTAACAAATAAATGTCAAAACGATATCATTTTTATAATTTAAATAACAATCAATTAAATTGACTATTATACATTATGAAAATTTGAGAATTAGAATCTATTATCCAATATATGACATTTTAAAATTCAAATTATATAATTTGATAATATAAATTTGAAATTCATCAATCATAATATAATAGAAACAAAATTTACCATTAATCTAATTTTCGAGTTGAAAAATGAAAACGTTTTAGGTATACTGCTCTGCCCAGTGCCCCCCTACCCTTTACCACCTGTAAAAGGAAACAAGTTGATATTTTTTCTATGCCCAAGTCCAGATCGCTAAGATCAAAGCTTTCTCCACCTCACAATAATTAATGTACTTGCCATTTAAAAAATAAAAAAGAAAATAAGAATCCATATGGTATCACGCCCTTTTTCCTCCCTAGCGAAGTCTCTACTAAACTGCTATAAAAGGAGGTTTTTATCTAAGACTTGAATGGTTTTTTTCATTTAGTGTTTATCACTGATCTGGGCCAATTTCTTTCTCTTTGACTGACCTTACTGCAGGTAATCAAGTTCAAGGGACTGTTTTGCTTTTGCTTTGCATGATAGCATCTCAAAAGGTATGGTGTTTTCTCATTTTACTTTTAATGCTTTTGCATAGCGATATAGTTTAGCTTGATTTAATGTTGCCCATATCCGTTTACACCATGGCTTGCAGAGCATATACTCCCTGTAATAAGTCACACTTAGGCATTTGCTCAGCTGTCAACGCAGTTTTTCTCGAGTTTTGTTTTCTGGGCTTCCGAAATATAAGCATGGCTAACCACATTGATTATAATATCTCAAATTTAATTCAAGTTAAATCCCAACTTCCAAGATTTTGAAATGCAAGGCTGGTGTATGCATTGAGAAAATTAACCTTTTGCATTATCAAAAGACAGCTTGCTAGCTTCGGCCTGTGGCTTTGGTTCAAAGCCTTTAAAATCTGGTCTTCCATTTCATAACAATGGCTCCAAAACTGATGATATGTAGCCGTTTTACTCTGTAGATGAGTTTCCTTGGTTGAAGTTACATTTCAGGCCTGGTTTTGTTCAAGTCATAGTATTGTGTTAATCTCTGCTAATAACCAATTGTTTTTTCATGATCTCTTCACAAAAATTTACACCCTAGGTTTTATCAGCTACAAAGGCTAGAAGTCATAATTAACCATGTTGCTAAGAAGCTCTTCAACGCCAGTTCTTGGATCCCTGCTTTCATCTTTCTCGGACAGCCCTAACAACAGCAGCAACAATCACCATCATGATATTAACACCACAATCAAGCACAGCCCAATTCACCACCAGAGCCTAAACAAACTTCCATATCACCAAACTGGCTGCCTCGGTCTCACCACAATCCCTTGCAACTCCTCTCCCATCTCTCCTTCCTTTGCTGAAATCTCTGACCGTTCCCATCAAGGCTTTCGTCGGGCTCAGTCTGATGGGAACCTTCGAGGGCTACTAGACTATTCTTCCAGCAACCACAATGAACAATGCTACAATTCGAACCAAACCAAGAAATTTTCCGGGAGGTCTAAGTGCTTGATGTTAGAAACTATACCGTCATTTTCCTTCCGTAATTTCCCAGGTCACGGTGAAGATGACGATGAGGAAGAAGAAGAGAGTGACATCCAATATGAGGAAGAGAGAGAAGAATTGGAAGAAAATGTGACGATGGAAAGGGAGCACTATGGTTTAAGGAATAAGATGGAGAACATGGTTCTGAATGAGGAGGTGAGCGTCATGGATAGAATTTGGAAAGTAAATTTTGAAGAGGAAAGACAGTCGATTAGTGAAGGGATGCATCTTGCAAGAGGGCTTGGCATTGATTGTGGTAGCAATGGAAACGGTGGTAGTGGAGGCTTTGGTGGCGCCAGTGGTGGCGGTGGTGGTGATTTTGATTCAGGTGGAGATGGTGGAGACATACATGGCACAGAGGAGTATTATAAGAGGATGGTGCAGGAAAATCCCGGCAACCCTTTGTTTTTGAGGAACTATGCTCAATTTTTGTTTCAGGTGAATCCTATTCCATTTCTTCAACTCTAATTATGATTAATGCTTGGCCAGAACAGCACTGGAATTTTTTGACTATTATCTGCTCAAAACTGACAATAAAACCACTATTCTTTCACAGATGAAGCGGGACCTTCAGGGAGCGGAGGAGTATTACTCTAGAGCTATCTTAGCAGATCCTAAAGATGGCGAAATACTGTCACAATATGCAAGGTTAGAATGGGAATTGCATCAAGACCAGAGTAGAGCCTCTAGCTACTTTGAACGCGCAGTTCAAGCTTCTCCAGAAGATAGGTAAGAAAGGCGTGACATTTTGTCCATAGATTATAATTTTTAAGGCGCTTCAGCTTGACAAATTCTCAATCTTTGTTAACAGCCATGTACATGCAGCATATGCTAGTTTCCTATGGGAAACAGAGGATAATGATGACAAATCTAACGTGCTGAAAGATTTCAATGCCAAGCCGCCACCTTTCCACGAAGGAGCCGCATCTTTTGCAAGTGCTTAACGGTTGATTTAAGGCATTGTGGTTGTGAAAGGAAAGTAGGAAACGTTTTAAGAGAAATAACAGAATCTATTGACCCTAATGTGAGCAATATGATGCTAGGTAGTTTACAGGACAATTGAACACGCAAAGATGCACAAAAAGCCACAATTATAGACCATCATACCATAATTCAACATTATCTTGCCTATCAACAAATGCCAGCCGTTTGAAAGGTCTATGATATTAGGAGTGTTCCAATTCCAATACTAACACAATTGCTGGACGTTAAATCACCTTGTCAAATGAATTGCAGCAGGTAATAGACATTTCAAGAGCGCTTAAATATAAAACAGGGCCCACAACTAGACAAGGGTTTTGTTTTACCAAGCAATTGCACTTGTTTATGATCAGTTGTGTTCTTAAAAGATAAATCACCACTAAGATGGGCTGGCTACAGAGAGAGGACTAATTTGGACTCAGCAAGGAGATTTTGCACGGACAAACAATTCCACGAAGGAAAAAACGTTTGCTTTTAATAAATAAAAGTAGGTTACTAAATCAGCACATCACATCCCTTAACGATGTTGATCTTGAATCAAAATTTTCCCACTCGAACTGTACGATAAAAACCATTCAAGGGGGATTCGAAGCGTATATATACCATCAGAACAAATAACACACAGAATACATTTGAAACTCCATTCACGTGAAATGACACACCTTAAAAGTACACATTTTTTTCCCGAAACCAATCAAAGGAAAATATTCATTAAGGAATCAACAACTCAAAAAACCTGCATAACCTTCAGATCAAAAAACCCAGGTCCAGGCAGAGCGATTTTTCCTCTTCACACGTTCATTCACAGATAAACTTTGTCCTATCGTACAGCACGCTGATAGAAACCATTGCCTCTTGCTCTACTGTAGTCACCACCATCTTGATTGCCTCCCCTGCCCATACTGCGGGCACCAAAACGCCCCCTTGGGGCATCTGTTTGGTAACCTCTCCCTCTTCCCCTTCCTCCTGCAGAGAGCAGAAAACAAGCAAATTTGTTTCACAATGCCATTTCAGTAATACAAAGGTTTAAATCATTGGCTGCTCGAAGCATTACACAAAACGCAAGGATATGGCATATGATGACAGCAACATTACTTTCCAAAAGCAACATGGAAAATCTAAGTCCTATCACAGGCATCACAGGTACAAACATAGCTATCATATTAGACAGATCAGCAGCAAGTAGGATGATAAGATAATTATGTTGGGTATAGCATCACCCAGTATAATCAATCAACAAACCAAAAATTTCATTTAAGTTTGCCAAAAGAAAAAGGCAACAATTCATTAGGATAAAAAATCATTTTATGAATTTGACCTCATAAAAAGAAAAAAAAATAGAAAAAAGATTTCTCCACTTGACAATTAAAACTAAATAAAAAAGGAGAAGGAACGGATCCACATACTTCCACCTCGAGAAGCAATGCTGCTGCTTGGTCTTCGCTCCTCAATGTAGATTGACCTTCCAGCCAGCTGTATTGGAGATGCCTACATTCGAAAAACAGTAAGGAAAAAAAAATTGAAATTGAGAAACACCGTATGCAAAACACAGCACCAGATATTGTTGAAACCTCTAGGCATAAACATGCCTAATGTTTGCATCACAAAGAACACAATACAATCGAATAAAGAAGTTTGGACCTAAATTCCATTCTATCTTTAATTTTAGAAGTCAACCCATGGCTACAAACCATGTTTTGTACATGTAAATAGCAAATCATATAAAAATAAGAAACAGTAGCTTTAATTGATAGCATCTTACCAAATACTTACAATGAAAAAAGAAAATAAAATGAAATTCAAACAAAGCCAGAACTATAAAAGTTAAATCTAATGAATAAGGAAGTTCATGCATATAGATGCTGAAGGCTATGATCAAGCAAAAGGGTTATGCATCCACAATAGACATGGATAAGTTGGCAAGTTAATAAGATAAAAAGGAAACAATCTTTTCTTGATATCAAATTCAAACCTGGATTGCATTTTGAACACTCAAGAGATCTTCAAACTCAACAAAAGCATAGCAAACGCCAACAACGTCCTGCATGAATCAATCGCTATTTCAGCCAAAGTCAATGTTACATGCTAATATTAATATAGAGAGAAAAAGACAAAAAAAAAAAAAATTCACCTTGCGGTTCCTAACAAATACACCATCAGGTTTGATTCTCCCAAAGTGATTAAACTCCTCCTCAATTTCTGCAGCAGTAATATCAGAGGGCAAGTTTCTCACATAGACGGATTTTGGTTCTCCTGTATGAGAGGATGATCAAGAATCAACTCGATGCTTTCCAGTTAAGTTGAGTGCAACAGCCATATGTTCTCCTAAGTTTCAAATTTATAGAATGCAACCTTGCAAATATGAATATCATTCAAGAAAAAAATAGATCATCTATAAAAATAATTATGCAGAGGGGCCAAGTCGCCCAACTAGTAGTGCCGCAGCCACCAAAATTGTTCATGTTAAAAAATTTAGATCATCAAGGTATTGTGTTTGCTGGCATTGAGCTCATCAACTCTTCCAAAGCATCAATCATAATCTGGAGTATAATTAGCTACAAAATTCAAAAATATAAAATTGTAGAATGCATAAATTAAGCATGATCACTCAAAAGTCCAGCAAAGGGAGAACAATATCACTAGTGTTGTAAGTAATGTAATAAGAACGAGTTTCAAGGTAGAATCTAGTGCTTGACCTTCATCTAGTCCCATGCCTTCCTCTGTAGACTCAATTGTAGAATCTGGAGCAAATGGCAATAAAGATTCTGGCTGCTGAGCAATAGGTGTTGACATGTGATTCCAATCAGAAGTAGAAGGGACACTCTTGTTAGCAGGTGGCTGAGTGGCAACCGATGATGAAAACTGCCCCTTGGAGACTCGTAACTATCACATGTCCACCATCAGACAAAATACAGATTGAAAATTACTTTCAAGTCCCAACTAAAATAAGTTAAGAGTAAGAGACACCACAGGGAAAAACATGAAAATAAAAACACCTTTGTTCCTGTAATATTTTATGCAAATACGATAGCTCATCCCCTCTTCACTTGAACATACATTTTGCCTTTTATAGTTTAGATTTTACTACATATGTGCAAAGTTGACCACCTTGATCTTTCACAATATTTATGGAGTTGGCCTATCACGTAAGCCTAGCTTTCAATTTTAAGAAGGCATAAAAAGAATTAAGAGTTTTATTCAGATTTTATCATGCCCAAATGTTGAAATAACCACTTCTAAATCATTTTAAATATGCTTTGTTTAGCTTAAAAGCACAAAGATGAAAAGGTGCATGCAAAACCAAACAAGAAACACAAGCAAAGAATAGATGCCTACAATTGAAGCATAAGTTTTCTTCGGAGGCTCTTCCATGGGTTCCTCTGGAGCAGCAGTTGGGAAATCATGCACAACATTTACGGCCCCTTGAAATGAAGCAGTTGTTTCCTCTACAGGAGTTTCTTCTACAACAATTTCAGTTTCGAAGTCTTGTTGCTGCTGTTGCTCAGGGAGACTGTACTTGTCAACTGGATCATCATCTATGTGAACCGAGTTCACATATTCTCTAGCTTCTTCCTCCAAAACATAGTCAGAAACTGCCAAAACTCACAGATTAGACCAAATAATACGAATCAATACTTTGTATAATCAAATGAGCCAAAGAAACTAAAAACTGTGTGAGAGATTGAAAAGTTTATTGCATTTTAAACCACACCATTGTACACACATATAATCCTCGTTTTTTCAGTTAAGTTGCTACATCCAAACTTAAGAATTCACCCCCATCCCCATCCTTTTACAGCTTGAACGAAAGCCCAAGGAGCAACAAGGACAAGCAGACAAGGATAGTTTACATATGAAAGTTTCATAACCAATCAAAGAAAAAAGGGAAGAATTTAACTTCATCATAATGATATATGACCACAGTGCCTCAAGCATAACTACTCCATTCACAATTTAAATAATACTTCACGGTACACATCATCATCCTATTACCTGGAGGCTCTGGAAGAGGGTTAGAAGAATCTAATTGTGCATCAAAAGTCTCATCAGACGATAAAGGTGGCACTGGATGTTGCAGGTAGATGTTTTCAGATGGCATGTGCCCCATATTTTGTTGGTAAACAACTCCATCATCAACAAACTGAAAGATATCATTGAGAACATAGTAACCCTTCTCCTGCGGAGCCAGGAAAAAGGTCTGCACAAATTTTCTTCTGTTAACATAATCCTTGTTCGTCTTAACAGAACCTGACACCATCACCAGAACACCTCCATTCAAAGACTCGAGAGAATTAATGGTCTTGATTTCGATTGCAGTAAAGTTTAGTGACATGACAAGTGCATGAATTTGCTGGAGAGAAACGAAGAAAGATTAACGCAATGAATAATTACACAAAAAAGGAAGATGATGCAATAACTGGTAAAAAAATCATAACAGAATAAATAGAAAAGTAAATTAAGAAAAACAATCTGAAAAAAAAAGTAGCCATCCAATAGAGTGATAGAAGTGAACCCACCAACTATTTACTACAAATAGTAATAATAATTAAAAAAAATACAAAACGCACATCTATCTAGCAAGAACAACAAGAAGTAGTAATCCATCCAAAAAAATAGAGAGAGCATCAAAAACAAAAACAAAGGAAAGAGTACCAGCATTGAATTAGCAGATTCGGTAGAATCAGCATCAATACGAATCATATTACTTGTATCCACATAAAATTGATGTACGAGATCTGGATGTTGTTGAAGTACTTGATAGTACTGTCCTACAAAGTATGAACCAACCTAACAAACGATAAAAAAATTCAAGCGCTATCCATAAGTAAGTTTGTTTTTAGCGTATTACAAAATTAACAAGAAAGATGGAATCGGAGTAGCACTGAATCACTCACCTTAACTGCATCAACAGGATATGGATGCGCCATTCTTATTAATTAAATCCCTGCTTTTGCTCCCCGCGAAAGCGTGAACCAGTTTTAGAAACAAAAAAGAAAAGGAACTGCAAAAAACTTGTAGAAGGATCCAAGGGTTTTTGACAGTCCTTGAGATTTAGTTAGGGTTTATGATATGCTCTGATATTTCTTGTTAATTTTAATGAAAGAGCTGCGGATTAGGGTTTTGTGATACGAAGAGAGAGGAATATATATTTATATAGAAATTCTAATTCTGATTCTGATAATAATGGTAAGAAAAGAAAGACAGGAAGATTAGATAGATAGATCTAAGGAGAGATCAGACACAGAGTCACAATCGCGTACTTAACCAATTTTTTTTTTTTTAAAGCTAAGAAAAAAAACTTAAGCAAAACCTAAATTTACAAAGTGTTCGATATGCTCGTTCGGTTATTCGATTCGATTTCAAAATATTTTAAATAGTTTTTAATTGATCGAATTTTAAAAAAAATTAATCAAAATCAAATCAAAATGTTATTTAATTTTTCGATTTGGTTTCAAAATATTTCAGTTTCGATATTCGATAATTCGATTTTTATCCGTTTTATTTTTATTTATTTTTTTTATAAATGGTTTATTCTATTAAAGTTCTTTAAATTTCAGTTTAAAATGAGTTTTTTTCTTTTTTGTGGACTACTACTTAAGAAACTAAATTGCATCAAAAAATAGCAAATTCATTGGTAGATAAATAAATAATAAATTATCTACTAAAAAAAGTTTGAATTTGAGAAGATAGAAAATCTACCAACGTATTTGCTATTTTGTGTATATTCATACTTGTGGTAGAGATAAAAAAAAATAAAAAAAAAAAAAAAACATACAAAGTTGTGGAAGGAAGTGCTTATAGGAGAAAAAGGTTTTTCAATTTAGAAAAGTACTGAGTGATCTAATTTTTTTTTAATATATCTATATATTAAAATATTTGATTTTTTAGTTAACTGAATTTTTTAAAAAACTAATCGAAACCGAACCCGAAAACCGAAATTATTTTGGTTTGGTTTTTTATTTTAATTTTTAAAAAAAACCGCATCAAAATTGATATTTCGATACAATTCGGTTCGATTATTTGATTTTTATCGAATAGTGAACACCTCTATAAATATATCATGGGATTATGGTCCATGGAGTTAGGATCAATTGTACACCTAAAATATTTTTTATATCAATTTTAGCATTGAAGAATTTTGGATTTCAATTGTACCAACGGAATGGTCGGTTTAATGGCCGTAAAGGTTTTTATGGTATTGATATTTGATAAAGATATTCTTTATAGTTTCAATTTGAACAATTGATTAAAAATTTGTAAAAAATAGTTAATTCTTTTTTATATAATTTATTTTGAAATGAAAAAAAATGTTAATCTTGTTATTAATTTATGCTCGATTGTTTTTATATTTCTTTTTTTTTTCTAATTGAGTATTTATTTCGTTTCAAAAGTCAACTAATAACATTATTAAAGAAATAAATTTTACGTAAAAATTATAAAATTTTAAACACATAAAATCAAATTTTTTGAACAAATAAATTAGAAAATCATGCTTATGAAAAAAAACACAAATTGAATTAAGTATATTTCACCAATGAATTGATTATTTATCCTTTATTGATGAAGTAAAAAATAAAAAATAAAGTAACACTTTATTCGGGATAAAGTAAATAAATAAATCATGGTAAATAAATAAAAAAGCATCTAAAAAATAAAAATAATAACAAATCTAGCATAGATTAATAAAAAATTATAATCATTTTTAGTTTTTTGTCTTTTAAATTAAAGAAAAAATCCAATGTAAAAAAAATAATTAACTATAAACAAATAAAAAGTTGGCAAAAAAATTAACAATTTTTTTTTATTTCTCATATTGAATGGTGAATTAAATAACATTAAGAATTATAAGTAGTAGATATATGAAAAGCATATGAAAATTCATACGAGTATTCGGTATGTCATGGCACTCTCCTTTAAATGTCTATTGTATAAGAAACGTGCCTTATTAAAACCTTAATAGAAAAAACCCAATGGAAAAAAATCCTAGTAAAGAAAAAAGAGTACAATATTCCTTCGCACATTAAAATCTATGTCGAGGCTTCTCTTGTTGAAAACATCATTTAAGATCTTTAAACCATACCTCTCTTACAAACCATTTTCTAAAAAGCTGTGGTAAGTAATATCTTAGTGAATAAATCTATCGGATTATCACTTTAATGTATTCTTATTTTAATTGAATTATACAAGTAGCATTATCTTCATATAATGTTGTTGAAACTTCTTTGTTGGTAGATAAATCACATCTCTCCGATATGATGGATCCTTGATCTTAGCCAAACACGTTCTTAAGTTGTCTCATAAATTAGTATTTTTGCATGATTTGAATATCTAGCAGCTATAGTTTGTTTCATAGAACACCATGATATAGTTGTATCACCATGTGTAAATATATAACTCGTTTGTGATCAAGTTTTATATGGATCAAATAAATAATCGTATCTGCATAACCTATTAAACTCGACTTTGATTTATTTTAAAAAATAAATATCTTATCAATTTTTTCTCGAAGATAACATAAAAAATATTTAATTCCATTTCAATATCTCCATATTTGAATAGAACTATGACTTGGAAATAAATTTATAGAAAAGGCTATGTTAGGTTGAGTATTATTAGCAAGATATATCAATACACCAGTGACATTAAGATATGATACTTCGGGATTAAGTAGTTCTTCGTTATCTTTTCGAAGTCGAAAAAGGTCCTTTTTGGATATCAAGTGAATGAACTATTATTGGACTAGTCAATGAATAATCTTTATATAGAATAATTATAGAGATTTTTTCTATATAAATTGACTATTAGAATAAAAATATCATTCTCTAAGTGCTCGAACTACGAGTCGAGATAAAATTTTGTTTTCTCAAGGTATTCACTTCAAATTATCTTTATAGATAACTTATGACACTTTGAATCTCTTCGGAAATTTCAATACTATTTAAATCATCAACATATACAACAATTATCACAAACCTTTTTTTAAATTTCTTTATAAAAATACATGAACAAATATGGTTATTTTTACAGACTTTCTTTTAATAAATATTTATTGAATCAATTATACCTCATTCACACATGTTAGTAATAAATAGTAGATATTGAAGAATAAAAAAATAAACATAAAAAGTGTAGCATAAATTGAATTTTTAAAAACTAAAATAATCTCGATAGAGATCTCTATAATTTAATTGAATTCATTTATCAAGAATACGTATTTCATGTTTCGGGCATCTTGAGTCTTTCTAGGACTTTCATATAGATATCATTTTTAACTAAACAAATAAATTATGATTACATCCATTAAAAGTATGCATATGAAGTTTTTCATATATTTTACCGAGCTAACAAGATAACGAAATATAATTACATCCATTAAATATATCTTCTCATAGCCAATGTAAGGTCCTTACGAAAGCTCTTGTATCACAAGTCTTACTTTGTATCTCATAATTTCTTCTTTTTATTTTATTTTTGCAAAAATACTCATTTGTATCTTACTAGCTTAACATCTTCGAGTGTTTTGACTATAAGTTTAAAAACTACTAGTTTGTAAGAGAATATAATTTCGTCTTTAGAGAATATAATTTTGTCTAGATTTTTTTGTCATTTTAGTCAATCATTTCTATGTTGATATTCTTTAATAAATTTAGGCTTATGATCCTTATTTTCATTTAAAATATCAATTACAATATTATATATAAAAATTTTATCAATAAATATTTTTTTCGATCCTATTTTCTCCCTGTATTAACATAATGTATCAAAATCTCTTGATTGTTCTCAAGCCTTTGGACTTATTTTGGAAGCCTACTATTAGAAATATCCGATATCGTTTTGTGAATATTTGCATTCTATATATTTTCATCTTGCCCTTTTCCTTTGGAGATTTTTATCTTTAGAATCGATCTATCTTTCACACTTCAAGTATGCTTTAGATTCATTTATTATTAAATTAATAGATTGTCCTTCTAGGACATCAATTCTAATAAGAATATTCTCAGCAGAAACATGCATTTTACTTACTCTTTTAGGATTTAAGAGTGCATCCGGCAATTGGTTTGCAATACCTTATGAATAAATTATCTTTTGAACTTTTAGTTCACATTATTTTGTACAAGGATGAGGATGATGTAAGGTAGAGTACTCTATGTAATTTTTTTTCAATATTTCCAACTCGCTTATTTTGCTTATTTTCTCCCTCTAATATTGAAAAAACTATGTCATCAAAATGATAGTCGATACATCGAGCTCGTAAAAATATATTTTGTTCTTGATTCTAGATATTGAATTATCAAAAAGGATTTAAATCTAACATATATTCTCAATTTTCTTTAAATGCCGATTTTAGTTTGTTATGAAGGAGCATTAAGGATATATACTATAATGTCAAAAATTGTTAAATAAGAAATATTTGACTAATGATCATAAATCAATTAAAGTAGGGAGAATTTCGATAACTTATGGGTCCGATACAAATATATGTTACTGTATGTAAGATTGCATGTTCTCAAATATAAACGAGGAGTTTTGTTTTTTAAATAATGATTTAGTTATCAATTGAAGCCTTTTGATAAATGATTTTGCTAAACCTTTCGTGTATGAATATGAGCAACAAGATATTCAATCTTTATTCTAATAGCCAATCAATAATCATTTAATGCTTAAAAGATAAATTCACCAAGCATTATCAAAGTGAATTATTTTAATGGCATAATTTATGCTTGTAAATGAATTATTTAGGTGACAATCTCGAAAACGTTAAGTTTCGAGTACATAATAAATATATATGTAATCATTTTGTGGATGCATCTATTAAAACCATAAAATATATAAATGGTCCACATAATGGATGAATTGATCCACTTATATCACCTTGAATGCATTCTAAAATTATTGAAAATTCAATCTCAATTTTACTTGTGAAGGCTTAATAATTAATTTAACTTGAAAACGTCAAGAACATGAAAATTAATTAAATTGAAGAATCTTTTGACTCTTCAATAGATTTTCATATGGATTTTTAATATTTTTTTTACATCATAAAAGGCTCAAGATAAAACAATTAGTCAAGCCACATAATAAAAGTATTTGAATTGGTAAACTTTTGGTTTACTATAGTATTTATTTCAATCATTCCAATGTTTGTAATAAAGATAAAAAGAGAAAAAGGATAAAATTTTTCAATACATATTTTCTACTTGATATAATAATTATAATATATAAGTATTCGATATTTTCTACAATTGTTGTCTTGATATTATATCAATTTAGATGAATACCTTTAAAATTCAACAAATTTCTATGAGATTTTAGAAAGAATAGTATATCATTTATAAAAAAAAATTATCCTTTTAGCTAATAACATATTCGTCTTTCCGAAGTTTTTAAATTATGTCACTTCAAGTAATAATGTATTCATTTTTTTTAGCCTTTAAAAGCTATCTCTCGTAAGTAATGATATATTCGCTCTTCTAGAGCCTTAAAAATTTATCTCTTCAAGTAATAATATAATCTTTCTTCCAAAGATTTTTGTTAAATTGATATTATTACATACAATAGTAACACAAAATAAATAATTAAATAAATAAACATAAAATAAAAAATAAATATATTCTTCATAAACACAAATAAATAAATAAATAAATAATATATATTAAAATAAACTTATAATCATCTTTATGCTAACAAGTTATTAATTTCAATTACCTCTATTTTAATATATAAAATTAACCTCTATATTTTACTCTCTTTTTTTTCAACGAGGTTTGATAAGATTCAATAAGGTGCTTTGATGCACGACAAGTACGTGATCAATATCCAGATCACGCCACATCTATAACATTCATTTTCAGAATGCTAACTTGATCCATTTTTATTCTTTTCTTGTTTTTTTTTTTCATAGATGTATTATTATGGTCACCACGATTATAATGACAATTATTCCGACCACGTCAATGGCTATATAACCATATATTCGTTCATGTCTAAAATTATTATAAGTTGTCACATTCACTTCGGGGAGTGGAGTAGATATAGTTGGACAAGATTTATTCTTTTTCATTAATAACTTGTCATTTTATTTAGTTATGAGCAAGTATGAAATTGATTCGAACATTTCTTAAACTCTTTTTCTCGATATGCTACTATAGGAGCATATTCAAGACATAAAAAGTAGAGAATATTTACTAAGCATCAAGCATTCATGATCAATAATTCTTACTCAAAATATCAAGGGCCACAAAATCAAGTTTTATAAGGTTTGATATCATAAAAATTCTATAATGCAAAGCATAATAATAATATTAGAAAATAAAAATATAATATAATAATAAAATTTAAATAAAAACAAACATAATAATAAAATTATAACTTTTCAAACAATATATATTAGATCATTAGATTCTATATATTAAATTATTTAAGTTTTTCAAATGTATATTCTATGTATCATTAGATTTAAAGTACATGATAAATTAGATACATATCTCTTAGTAATCTAAATAATTTAGATCTTTTAGTAGAGCACTTGTGTAGAAAAATCCAATGGCTAAAACAAATGATTAAGTCTTTTGGTATATACGTATCTCATGGTTTATTATCTCGATTGGTTAGCGCTTCGTGCCGATAAAATGTTATAAAAGAAATAACAACAATAGTAGAATTGAAGAGAAAGATGATAAAAAAATGAATTCGATATCAAATAAAGTGAATACAAGAGATAACAACTCCAAATAATTCTTTCAATCGCTATAAAATACTTGCACACAAACTAATGAACAATTCAAGATTAAGAAGAGAATTGGAAAGGACGATGAATCATTAAAGGTACATAAATTGTTAAATCAATTACATCACGTTTTTAATTTCTCATATTGAATGCCGAATTGAATCACATTGAGTTATGAGTAGTAGAGATATGAAAAACATATGAACATTCATATGGACATTCATTATTTCATAACAAATTGTAATTTTTTTAGAGATTATGATCATATTTAGTGGGCTTAAAATGTACAATATAAATAAAAAATATTAAAAAATAATCAAGTTGCAAGAAATATATTAAAGTTAATACATTGAAATAAAAATAACTATGAAATTGATTTCGATAAATTATGATTATATAAAGAAAAAGCAAATCAAGCACATGAATTCTATTTTTTAAAAAAATGGAGACAAATTATATGAAATACATTTTTAACCTCTTTATGATTTCATTTAAGAGTCATAAGAATTCATCACATAAATTATATCAATATATTTAAAAATAAAATAAAATAATCATATTCTAAAATTTTATTCAAAAATACATACATAGAGAAAAATAAATTATTTTATTTAACAAATAGAATTATATTAAAAATTAAAAATTAAATTGATGAGAATTTTCATAAAAAACAAAAAATTGAAAAAGTCAATTTTAAACAATATGATAATATAATTCAATTTATATATTCATTTTAAAATATGAAAGCATACCACATATATTTCATCATCGCCTATCTATGTGGAAAAAAATAATGATTGATTTAAAATTTTTACATGTGATTCGATAATAATAAAATACAAAAATCTAGCAAAAAACAAAAGCCAAAAAAAAAAAACAAAAAAAAAACACCAAGGCTAGCTTGCAACCTTGGACTTGAAGAAACAAGCCCCCACGATCTATTTTATTTTTACAAATAGACAATTCATCGCTTGTGTCGGGCAACAACATTAACAACGCGCTACGTACCTATAACTTCTAGTGAATTCAAATTGTTTAGAGACATCGCTAAAATCGTCTTCAAAAAACCAAGAATCTAGCATCATTTTTGCCATAGAACGTCTCAAATTTAGTGAAATAAATTCAATAAAGTCGTTTGGAATCGTAAAAGGCAATGCACATTAAAAACATAACAAACAAACAAAAAAAATCAAATTGAAATTTTTTTTTTACTTTGCTTTACCTCTTCTAATCATTTTATGATTTAAAATGATCACCAAAATAAACAATATAAATGCAAAATTGAAAGCAAAAAGAGAAAAAGCCAAAATTGGAGCTAACTGGCTTTCCTCTCTTTGTTTCTTTCACCTCTTTTCATGTAGATACCAAAATGGTACACAGATAAAGTTAAAAACCAAAATAAAATATTTTAGAAATATCAAGAATCACAGTTTAACATCGAATAATTCGCATATAAGTGCCTAAAGACAACATAAAAATCACAAAATTGAATCTACATTATGAAAATGCATAGAATTTGAGTGAATAGTGCCGCATAGACTTTGAGTGAATAGTGCCATTAAGTATAGATGAATAGTAGTATCATTTAGTTTTTTTTTTTTTTTTTTAATGCCTCAAATTGTCATTTATCCTTGCATAATTGAATGAGTTTTCAATTGTTGTTATATATTATAATTAAACAAATTTTATCTTTATAAAATAACTAAAATTTTAATCTACCCTTGTGTTATTTCTTTTCCGTCCAAATTAACTAATGTTTCCAATCCATCCATCTTTAATTTTTTTAAATTTTTTATTCAAACCAACCAAATCAATCAGACACTTGATTTAATAGTATACTAAAAATAATCATAAATATATGAATATATAATCATGTGCAAAACATGAGACACGTGTGTGTATATAAATACAACACAAACCAATCCTCTTCCTCATTGAAACCTCCCTCTCCTCCCCCTTTCTCTCTCTCTATGACCCCCACCTCACAGAGGCTGCCTTTTTCGATGCAAGTCATGTGTACATAACTGATCATCTTAGCTTTGGCTGGAAAATAAAATAAAATTGATTGATAATGATCTAAGCTAACTCAATTAAAAACAGATTAGAAACTTGCCTCGTTATATTATATAAATACAAATTGCGCAATTTCTCATTTAAAAAAAAAAACAAAAACAAACAAACAAACGCAAGGGCACTCAACGAGAGATTTTGTCATGTTCTAACGAGTGTACGCAGCCTAGCCAAGTGAAATTACTCCAGATGCTCCCATTGCAAGAACGACCAACATCAACTGAAAACCGACATTAACTCAACCTGTGGTCAAGTGGATATAATTTTAACTAACTAACGAATTAACCATGTTCCGTGCAGATTTACTTTCTTGTAGGTGTGCAAGCTAAATGTCATGAGCACGAGGAAGAATTTTCTAAAAAATGCCTAAGGGTGGCAAAAGATTTAATCATTCACTGAAGTACAACTGCTACTATTGCACCTACACAGATTACTTTCTCATCTTCCTCTCCCTTGTGTGCATTTTTGCTTACACCAACCATGCTCTGCCCCTTGTTCCAAAAAAACCCCGAGTTACGAAAAGATTCAGCAAAGAGATGGACATAAAGGAAAAGAAAGATTACATGCAGGAAAATTCCTGCCAGATCAGTAGTAACTCCCATAGTAGGGTTGTGGAACGGAAGCTGGCTGCTGAGCTGGAGTCAATGCTGCTGCTCCTGCAGCAGGGGGTTGTGCATAGCTTTGTTGCGGGAAGGCCTGCTGAAATCATAGAAACACCATCAGCAATAGAAACAGTACAATGTCACGAAATGGAAAAGCATTTTTTTCATTCCAGCAGTATCCCTGATAACAAAAAAAGTTTAGAACCAGGTCATTGACATTGTAAACAAAGTTCAAGAAACTTAAATCGTTAACGATGCTATTTTGCTTGGATGACTAATGTTGAATGTGTATCTATGCCAACAGGGCACCAACACAATGCAAATGATCTCCAAAGTCCAGATTGAAGTTACCATAGACAAGCAGAGGAAACAACTAAAGCTGAACTCTTGATCATCGCCTATAAAAATGTACTTTTTATCCCAAATTACAAGAGCAAGGCGAATATGAACTAAACAAAGTGTTTCCTGATAGGATACTGTAACAATGCATTGTTTAGGGAGCTTATTCGAAAATTTTGATGGGAGAGAGAGAGAGAGAGAGAGAGAGAGAGAGAGAGAGAGAGAGAGGACCTTAATCCCTTTCAAAGACAAATATTAAATCAAGTACAGACTACCACTAGTATCACTGATTCAAACAAGCATCATACGAATTATAAAGCTGGAATGGTAAGAAAAAGGAAAGGTAAAAGACAAGCAACAATAGCACAGAGAGATCAATATCACCTATCACTTTCACAGTTAAATGGAACATTTTTTTATTTACCTGGGCAGGATAAGTAGGAGGATAAGCACCATAAGAAGCACCTTGTGCAACTGATGTAGGAACTTGAGGACTAGTATAGCTGCCTCCATAACTACCATATGCACCATATGCAGCCTATTTACATGAAAATTATATGGAAGATCACTTTCATGAGGTAAACTATAATACTGCTTGTGACTTGTGAGTAAACACACATTTTTAAATGCAGAAGAAGACGAGCATGCAGTACCATTCTATATCAAATTACTAGTGTCCTTGAGTAAGAAATTCAACAATACCATTGAGGAAAGGCAACCTACTTGTTGGTTATAGCCTGGAGTCCACTGTTGCGTCTGTACTTGTGTGGCTGGTGGCCAAGCTTGAGGCTGTACACTATAACCAGCAGTCCACTGATTTTGTGCACTTGCATATGCCCCCATCAGAGACTGTGCAGGTGAAGTTGCATCAGAGTAAGGTTTGGCTATTTTTGCCTTATCCGAAGCTAGGTAATCCTCTGCATGGCGCTTTTTCAACTCTGACTTACTCCCGTGGGGTAAAAAGAACTTGGCATGCCGATCAGCAGCCTTCTTTATAGATTGAGCATCTCCAAAGATACCTAAAAACTGAAGGGGGAACCAACAAAAACAAAAAAGAAATGTGATGAGAAAACTAGGCTCAGTCCATTCCAACACCAGAAATCTCAGCCTTGACACTTCATAAGTCACAAGGATAGCCATTGCCCGCAACATGTCCAAAATTGATATCAACATAACCTATACTCATTGTGCATTGACTGAACTAGAGTATGCCCTAAATACACTATTTATTAGCAAACAGTAGTCTAGATTTTATAACAGAAGGAAGTCTACCGTTTGATACAAAGTAAACCAAATCAGATTCCAGAGTCTACTTATGCCTCCTAGACATACACCACAATACCACAAAACTTCTCAACATCCTCTTCAATGAAATAGTAAATCTTTTAAAATTCTAACACAGCAGGACTCATATGAATGGGGAGAAAAAAATTCTACAAGGCAGCGTAACTGTTAACAGTAAGGCTAACTGCAAGCAAAACATTTGATTAAATTCTGATATCAGAAGGAAGATTTAAAAACAGAGAAAACAAAAATATTGACTACCTCCAAGAAAATGCAAGATAGTTCTTCCCTCTCAGAAGGACTAGCAGAATTGACGCTGTCTGAGCTGGGCACAATGAACTTCTCTACCAATGAATCAAGATAATCGATTCGTTTCGGCAGTGGCAGAAATGTCTCAAGGTGTATCAGGGCCTGCATATAAACGTAATGAGACAGAATATTAGCAACCGTAGATCACAGTGTAGGAATTATAATAGAACAAAGATAGTGTTTTCATGCTTAAGTTGAGCGAGAGAGAGAGAGAGATAGAGAGCAAACCTCAATAAGTGGCTTTGAAAATTGGGCATTCTCAAGAGCTTGAACTAGAACCTCTCTGGCTTTCTCTACATTTTTTGATGCCTGCATGAAAAAGGATAAACAAAAAACTTTGAAGAGAGTGAAAAATCTTTATTAAAAAAAAAAAAAAAACTGGCCCAAGAAATGACACATTTAGTACAAATGGTAACAAGAAGAAAAACACTGATGTGTTAGACAATTATTTATAAAGTTATAAACAACCATTAGATGCCAAAAGATTTAAAAGAAAAGAAAAAAGCCTCACAAATGTGAGCAGCACATATAGACCTACCAAATATATGAACCGAGCATATTGTGCATACAATGCTGGCAACACTTGTGAATGCTCTTTTCCCTTTTCAATGGCTATGGCCTGTTCATATAAAGAGAAGGCATCTTCATGGTTCCCCTGGGTAATAGAAGAAATGACCAAGTCAAACCATGTGGCATCTCAATCACAATTGAGAAGACCTAAAACTTGCTACAGCTATCTTACCAACCGATGCTCCATGTTTGCATGCTTAGTAATTGCTTCAAGAAGACCAGGTGCAATTTCAGAATGTACAACTTGGTATGCAGCTTGAGCACCAGGTATATCCCCATTTTGCTCTTTGAAGCGAGCCGCAAAAAGGTGAATCTCTGGTTGTCTCTGTTAAACATTCAGCGCATAAAGTCAGGGCATAATAATGGAAGTAGGTGAACTAAAGTAAGAGACAACAACACTGCTAACAAGCAGCCACGCAGCCTCATTTTCATTAATGTATTAGACGACTAGCTTGGTGCAACATTCTGGTTTGTAAAAGAAACATAAAAACAGAATCAACTCCACAGTGATTAGCAAAATTTTGCCATGACATTCAATTGAACTAGAAACAATGGATAATACAAAGAGGTAAAATGAGTCTCAGAAACTTCATACCTTGACAAATACTTGAGTTGCACGAGCGAGAGCATTATTTGCAAGATCCATATTCCCAGATGCTTCCATGCACAAGACATACCGTATCCAATACTCAGTATAATTGGCACATGCTATTATGCACCTTTCATATAGCTTGACCACCTGACTCAAGAAAACATGTCATCACAGTCTAGAAGGTACAACTGAATACATCACCACATTAACAAAAGGAAAAAACACAAAGCACAAAGGAGATATGCATAAGAAATACTCCATTGGGGAACAAAAAGGCCCCTCAAATACGAAAGGAGGGACCCTCCTTGCCTGACAGAAGATGGTTAGGAAGGCAAGAAGATACCTGCATGCATAACATATGAATTTTAAGAAGAATAAAATTTTAACACGTACAGGAACCTAGTCCACTGACAAACGAGGGTTTGAAGTACTTAGCCTCATAGAAACCAAATCGAAGGCCCATGCTTTAGTCTCAGTTCAATTTCCCGTTAAAAATGTTGCTTCATCCAATGGTTTAGCCAATAAAGCATATGATGCAGCAGATATTACTTAACTGTAAGCCAACGTATCACAAGGTACAGCTAAAAAAAATATAAAAAAAGAAACAAAGATCAATGAAGAACTGTAAACAAACCCAAATACCTTATTGAAGTCGTCCTCTCTTTCTATCATATCCAGATAGTTATGCCAATTTTCTAGCTCTGCAACATTAAGGGGCCGCACATGAAAGTAGGGCCTCCTAATAGCATTTTCAAAGTCAGAGATCTTAGACTCGAACTCTTTAGCTTTCTTATATATCTCTTCTCTAATGACGATATACTTCTCCAACTCCTCTGCTTCTGTTAAGCCAGCACTTACAGGTTTAGAAGGCTGTTCGGCTGCATCAGGATGAACCTCTCCCTCGTTTGCTTGGCCACCATCCTCCAGAAGTGTAGGTGCTACAACAGCAGCAGCCTCCTCAGCAGTCCTTAATTCTGACAAAGGCCGACTTGCAGCAAAAGCCTTAAATCTGAAGACCAACAAAAAGAACATAAGTAAAACAACAAAAATATTGTGCCGGACAACAAACACAGGTGCAATATATGCCAAAGCTTGTGTCATGTGTCTGCACTCAACAATCATATTTAAGCAGCACTTCTCATTTATTTTTATTTATTTATCTTTTTTGTTGACAAGAAAAACCTTGTCAAAGATCACAAAGGTGAAATACATGTAAGAAATCAAAGCAGATTAAAATTGCAGTGTGGAATCTGCATCCATGGTAGAAGATCACCGACAAATATAAAACAAGGGATTTGAAGCTTAACTAACAGCACCTAGAAACACGTAGCAACCACTGTGAAGGACAAGAAGTTGTAGAGCAACTGAGATACTAACAAAATGCACACCTAAGTCAAAGCTAAACGATCAGCAGACTTTTTGGTAAGCCACAGTAAGAAAATCCAATAATATTAACATTGGCAAAGATCCAATGTTTAATGCAGACAATATTGCAGCCTGCCAAGTCCAAATATCTTTCAGACACCCAACCCCTAACAGAGTGCAAAGAATGAAGTAATAGATGTGCCAAAAATACTACATGCTACTCAGGAAAACCTGGACTTCACTAGAAGTGTACATGCAACCATTTTTCTACAACCTCAAACACCAGTAAGCGAAGGAAGTACCAACTTGGACAAAGATCAAGAAGGCATGTTACTTACTTGTACTAAAATATATGAGTAGGATAACATCCACACCAGATATTGACATATACATTTTTTCTAAGTTTCTCAAGTTTGAAGGATCAAACCAAGCATCTATGTCCATCTGAGGCACCCATATATGTCTCATATTAGTACATCAGCATATTATGAGTCACGGCAATGCCCAAGACTTGACAACCACCTGCTTTCCCAGTAAAATATGGTAACAGTTTAAAAAAACAACCAACACGAATTTGCTTTCTTGAGGAAAGACCTTTTGGTTGGAATGGGAATGTTCACACGCACAAGAAACCACTTGCCGTACAGAAGTACAGACATAACTCAATTCAAAATGTTCACAAAGAGAGGGAAACAAGAAACATTAAGTCAACAAAACTGTCAAATCTTACAAAATTCAGTATGCAACCAAAACCAACTAATTGACACGTTCAAAAATGCAGGACAGCATTGAATCTGATGCACACAAGCTTTAATAGTCGGCATATTATTAATAATAAAAAAAGCATCTGAACTAACTGGTCCTAATCTGAGTACTATTCCTTGTCTTGTGCAATCATTATACAAGATAAAAGAGTAAAAATGGCACCTGCACCAAAATTTATGCATAACAAAACAAATAGCAGTCTGCTCAAACAAATATAAAATAACTAAGCCAGCTAAAGACACATTTCACCATTTTGTATTATGCTAGAACATAATACAAAATTGTTATTAACACCAATCAACAACTCAATAAATGAGGTCAGAAATTAATATGCAGATGCTAGGACGTAATATTACCTATTGAAATAATCATCCAGCTTTCTGTTGGGAATCTCTAATATCCGTGTATAAATCATGGCAATACGGCCCCACTCTGCATGCACCTCTTCATATTCAATGTACTTATCCCAAAGGGGGTAAGACAGATAATCTGTTCCAACATATGCTAATCCTCGCTCGAAAAGCCTGATGCCCAGAAAAAGAGAATGATATGGTTAAGATATAGATATGGACACAGCACAACCAATGCAGACACATTCATAAATTGGAGACCCGGGAATAATGCTGAAGGAGAAGGAACAATTCACTCTTAACAGCATGACACTTCCAAATGCTGCATTTACCTTCCTGATAAAACCATACTATGTCTGAAATGGAGCACTGAATGAGGCCATCTTAGCCCTTACTGGATGAGATCTTCCCAGCAGCATTTTGCATATTGATACACCTCAGAGTCTCAGTTTAAGACAGCCATAATTCATAATTAACTACATTACTATGACGGAGCCCTTGAAAGGAGGAAGGAGAGATGGGGTATGATGAGGCCGAAAACAAATAGAGTTCACATACTATAAAAAGTAAAAAAATCAAACAGCTACCCATAGAGCAGCCTAAAATCAGAACATTTACACAGGATAAAATTTATTTCTAAAGCATTCCCATCAAACCTTTCGCCATTATGTGAGAAATCACTGTTGCAGGCGTACTGAGATAACGTTAGAGAGCAACAAAAATCACCAAATCCTTGCGACACAGGAAACCACATGATCATGATTCCAACGTGGGCTGATATAAGAATGGATGTATGAACAGCTATTACCTTCTAATGGTCTCTGGATCTCCATATGAGGATATGGCAAATATGCAATAATGCAACCAAATGTCCACCGAATACGTCACCCCCAGAACAGCCCGTTCGTATACCTCCACAACTTTGTCTACAAAACCAAGGCGTGCTTCATGATCTGCATACTTCTTCCAATAACCATAACACAAAGGAAATTCAACCAAAAAGGCATCATACACTTTTCGAATTTTCAATATATTGTCCTGCATAATGTACAGGTGAGCAATGTTAGCTCCACTAGAACAAGTACTCAGATTGCAGATGCATACATATAAAAGAAATTAAGTTCAGAAAGGATATAAATTAGCTTTCATTGATAATTGGTATAGCATACCAATCCATTTTCCACTATTATTAAATTGTCAATTCCTAACACCCTATAGTGAAATTGACAGCTCAGTCATTTGAGGACAGTGAGAAAAACTTAAAAGATGTCTTAAAGGTAATCTGCTTTTCATCCAACTTAAGGAAGATCAAACAAAAACAGTTTTTCCATTTCCTGAAATTCAGAAAGTTCAAAAGATCCTTATTTCTCAGGAGAAAACATGATTGCTAGAAAAAATATGTGCACGGGGAACCAGTAGCTCATCACATGTCTGATAGTTCATACCCCAGCCACCTTCTCCGTCTCATCTATCAAGGCAGTCCATGCATCAAAATCCAAAGAATTAGCCTTCACAATGCTCCACAGCCGGTCTTCTTCAGCTGACATTTCTGGCACTAAAGAGAGTGGGAAAACTGATTAGGTAACACCTAAGAACTGCTAACAGAATCATCTGCATAGAGATTTGCAGGGAATAAAAGAAATAGAGAATGTCAATAACAAGGACTAGCCCCACCTTTACTTCACAAGGAAACAGACTCTCCAGTCGACCCCAGAAGGGAAAGTAAGGAAGTCAACAATAAAGTTCAAGAAAGTTATCAGAGTTACTATTGGAATAAGAATTGAAGGACTCCTGCACATTTGACATAGATTTTTCGAGGATTGTATCTTATATCTACTTTTCAACCATATTTGAGTGAACAGACTACTGTGCTCAACAACCAATTTACTGTTCCCATTTGATTTCAGATTGAAGAATATGTGAAGCATTTGCTACCAAGTTCCACTATGTTTCATGCATACGAACAAAACCTCATGTACACCACAAAAATGCCTTTAGAAGAAAAGAAAGTTAAAATGCCTAAGAACACACAAAAAAGAAAAGATAATACCCAAGTGTATCACTGGGATTCAAAAGATACATGGGCCAATGAAGTGCAATATGAAATCTTAAACATCTTGCCTTTACTTTGCATCAGACAACATTAGTATGCATCCTATTTTCAGCTGTGCATAAGGAAAATTACAAGTCCTTCGTGAGATTATTCAAGAAATGAAAAACAAAGGAGGTTCTATCTTGTTAATTTTTTTCAGAGTCACGTAAATTTCCATTCATACATCTGGAGAATTGATAAGCCCCTCCTATTGTCATATAGCAAGGTCAACATCACAAGCTCTTACACAGCATGCATACCATATTGTCCAACATAAATTCTTTAAAAGGCTATATTATAACATCAACCATCACATATACATATAACAAGCATGCCAGAGAAGACATACCAGAACCATCCACGAACTGTTGCTCAGCAGCAGCTCCACCCACAACCTCTCCAGCATTTCCATTCTCAACCGATACGGCAACTCCGGCTTCAGTATTAATATTTCCATTTACCGCTGAATCATACCCAGCAGCTTGAGATGGTGTAATAGAAGCATTTTCTGCTGCAGCTACATTGTCAGTAGTACTTTTCATTCCAACAACTGCCTCCATCCCATACGATTCCTCAACATGAGCCTCTGGTACAACCGAACGAGAATCAGTACCATATGCATTCCCAGTATAAGCTGCCTGTGCTGCAACAGTAGAAACAGTGAAATTTCCAGTACCCTCTGCAGTAAAAACACCAGGGCCAGAAACAACGTTTGCACCAGCATCAGCATAGCCACTAGAAGCATAGCCAGCCGCTGTATAATCCATAACTGTCGACGGTTCAGTTACTACAGTCTCACTATCTCCCATACTCTACAACTTGTACTGCTACAGTATAAGCTGCAACAATACAAACAAAACACAGTTTCATCATTATTAACAATGATCACGAATAGGATACAAAAAAAAAAACCGTAGTTCCTTTCAGCCTTAAAATCATTTAGGAGAACACAAATTAATTAAAGTATTCAAACCTATAATCATAATTAAGATGATAAAACAACAATTAAGCTATTGTTAATCCAACACATTCATAAAAATTAGAAAACTAATTCAAAGAAAAGACTGCAAATACTACAAGCAATTCTACACCACCATTCGATTCACTTACAAACCTCGAATCAGATCGCAAATGGCTTCAAAGTTAATAAGCAATAAGCACAACGAATAAACCTAATTTCAAGGTGTGCTACGGAAAACCCTAAGTGAACGCTGTAAGTAAGAGGAAGAGACGAAAGAGGAAATGGAGTAACCTGGTGGTGCAAAAACGACGCCGCGTTTGGTGCGACGGGAAGTTCTAGACTTGGGTTTGGCTTCGCTAAGATTGATCGAGAGAGCTTTGGGTTTTGTGTTGTTTTTTTGGGTTTCGTATTTTGGTGGGTAACTATACTCCAGAAACGCCGAGAGGCGAGAGAGCAACGAGAGTTGCTAACGTTGAGCTCGTCGTTTTATATAGTAGATAGAGTAGGGTGACGTGTTGCGCCGATTCTATTTTCCGGTGCCGCTCTTAATTTGAACCGTCGATTGATGAGTGATCTTTGATCTAATATTAACCGCATGATTTCATGGTTTCCAGGGAGGTGCTTGCCACGTCAGCATTAGGGTTCCGCATTGCTATCTTCCGTGACTGGAAAAGGAACTCCCTGGGCTTGCCAACAGCCAAGTGGGTCGACAAGATGGGCCTAAAACTGGGCCAACAAGGCGATCCATTGACTTCAATGATTTCCCCGAACCCACTATAACTGTATTAAATTTATGACGCATTAAATTTAAAAAAAACACACACACACACACTACAAATATTTATGAAAAAATTATAAATCAGCCTCTTTATTTTTAGAAATAAATTAAATTATCTCTCTTGTTTCAAAAATTAATTATTTAATCCCTTAATTAGTTTTAATCATGTTTAATTTAATATTATTTTATTTTAAATATTATATTTTCTCGGCAATTCTTTCTTCTTTTTTTTTTGACTTTTGACTTTTTTTCCTTTTTCTAAAATAAAATAAATTGAAAAAATAAAAAGAATTAAGCTACAAGAAAATTTTAAAATATAAAATTAATTAATTAATTTTTTAAACAAAAGAAAGTAATTAATTCATTTCTCAAAATTAAAAAGATTAATTTATAATTTACTCAAATATGTATTCTTCAATATCCTCAAACAAGTTTTCACATAACTTAAATCATTCAAAAGTAAATACTAATGAAGTTGCGGTTGTATTGTATTATTTGCAACTGACAGATAGCTAAAAATGTTGTGTATATATATTCTTGACATCTTATTTCAAAATTTATATTGGTAATGATAAAAAAAATTCAAAGAAAACAACATATTATCAACAAATTGTATCCTTAAATAATATATCATAACATTTTAATTCACAATTTCCTATATATTATTTAATTGTTTCTTATTTTTTATTGACTATTTAATCTCTATTCATTCACCTTTATTTGTCGGCATTTATTTAACGACCGAAGAAGAAACTCTAACTCTATATATATACACTTCAATACCTTGATCTTTATTTTGATAATAACAGAACATTCATTAGATATTAGAAAAATTACAAATCCTTTTAAGGTATCATGAAACTAAAAAATCATTCAACACTTTGAATATTTGACATAAATCTTTTATTACACCTAAAATATCCCTAATTACTACACGTAAAAAATAATAGTTAAATAATAAAAAATAGAGAAAAAATATTAAAAGGAAACTAAAAAAAATGAAGCAGATTAAATAGTAAATTTAATATTGTTCATATACTAAAAAAAAAATCATGTCCCATTTTTTTCTATTATTTTTCTAATTTTTATATTCTTAATTTAACTGTCTTTTTAAATGTAATTAAGAGCATTTTGGGTATAAAAGAGAATTTTCTAAACATAAAAGAGGTTTTTGATAAATTTTCAAACTTTTAGGTAGTTATGTAATTTCATGATACTTTAAGAAAGTTATTGTAATTTATCCTTAGATATTAATCTTTGCTTTAATTTTATATTTTATAGGTTTCATGACTATTAAGTTATCCGAAGGAATTAATATGTGTCATGAAGTGAAGTGCATTGGAAACAAATGCTCATCAAGTTTGATCTGAAGACTAGTTTAGGTGCTATGGATAAAATTAATTTTTTTTTTAATGTTTGCAAATAATTAGGTATCCTCAAATCAACATTCATGTTAATCGAGATTAAATCCAACTAATTGGATTAGATTAGTGTTGGATCATATTTAGTCTTTTATGTGATTTTAAAATCAAACGCTTTGAACCCATTAGTAATCTATGTCTACTCGTCACACAAAGGAGAGGAATAAGCTTTCTAATGGCAAGAATCGAACTCCTAATCTAGTGAGTCAAAGATATTCTTTATACCACTTTATTTATAACCTTCGATGGCTATGGATAAAATTATTACTTGAGTCTTTTTGCGGAGTAGTTTGACATTTTAAAATTATCTTTCATACCTATAATGGTTTCCCAAAAAAAAAAAAAAAAAGGTCCAAAAAATTTTCAAAACCTCTCATTTTATCTCTCAAGCCATAACTATCATTTGGTACCAAATGGTCCATACCGGATATAGATAGAAGACGTATCTATCACCATTTCTATTGAAAATTCGTTGTTTCTTTGTGTTGGCATGTGTAAGAGTTGTTTCCACTTATCGTTGCCTAGTTTTTTCTAATTTAAAAATGGCTCAATTAGTTACTTTTGCCACCTATAATGCATATAATGCGTAAGACAAATTCATTCTTTCACCTATCTTTTACTTGACGTCCACTTAGACATTTATGACATCATCCGGTATACGAAACTAACATTGTCTGCTACAAAAACGAGGATGCCTTAGAAATTGCTTCAAATGCTAGTTTTGCCTTCTAGAAAGGCTTTTCTTTCACCTTTACAAAGTGATTCAATTACTTTTTTCTCTTATGAATTCACTTTTTAATTATTCTCTACACGTTATACTAACTACATTTAATCTTTTTAATAAAAGAGCTAGAATAATTCTCGTGACGTCGACCCATAAGGAGATATGGGATTGTAGGTGAATAGGGAGTGCCACTCGACTAATCAAGCAAAAATAACAAATCCTAACCATACCGATCTATATAGATATTTGGGTAAGATATCGCTTACGTATAGGGAATATATAACATCACCGTCATCCCTTCCTACCTAAAGTAGGTATATTGTTCACATGTGAAAATAAAAATCTAGTTTTTTATTGTGTTATGCTTTTATGTCTATTTAAATAAGTTTTTTTTTTATGTGAAAACAAAGCGGTTTAGAGGTTTAGATGTAAAATAAAATAGTTTAAGGGTTCGGACTAGTCTAAGGCCAATACCCTTACTCAAAGGGGAAAGATGAAAAAAGTTAGAATTTTGATTAGTCTTTAGTAAACACGACCTACTACCAATAAGTAGGTGAGTTTCTAAAGACGAATAATCTTTTTTAGCATAAGAAGTAAGTTATCGAGGATTTCACTCACACAAGTAGGAAGCCACTAACGACTTCATCACATAAGTGAAAAGTTATCGAACACCTTATTTAACTCGAGCAAGGAGTAGACAACTAGTTTAAAAGCCACTACTCGGCTTCGTCACATAAATGGAAAGCCATCGATAATTTCATTTTAATAACTCAAAATTAAATAAAATTGATTCACGAGCCATTAGCGACTCCATCTACATACGTGAAAAGCATAGGCAACTTCATTTTAAATAAATAGAAAATAGATAAAATGATTTCGAAGCCACCGATGGCTTCTTCATATAAGTGGGAAGCCACTAGCAGACCTCGTTTCAACATTGTAATTAAATACTATAAGTCAATCAAAACGACATAAATGGCATAAATTTCGCTTAAGAATGCAAATATAAAAATAAAGTAGTTTGTTCATAATGACAATTACAATAACATTCACTTTAACCATATTTAAACCATGAATATATAAATAAAATATGATAATTTCATTCATATTTTAAAAAAGTGCGATCATTTTAAAGGTTTTACCCAAAATTATTCTATAGCTCATGTGTCTAATTTGAGGGTCGGTTATACTCTTTGCATCCTCAATGATAATTTATTATTCAATTAGCAAAAGAAGGAGAGCAACTACCTATACATTGTATGGGTCTCACCGAAGAGATTGAAAATCTCTCCAAAGTTGATACAAGTAGTTCAAGTTGCGATAAATTTATCAAAGTTGCTATAAACTTTATAGTAACTTTGTAAATTTTTAAAGTTGTTGCAACTTGAGGAGGTTTAGCAATAAGGTTATTACTTGTTTCAAAAACCAATTCAAATATAATTTATAACATCATGTTGTTGTTGTCAAATACAATCAATCCAAACAATAATAATTTTTTTATGAAAAGTGGTCGGTTGACTATTGTTGGCTCGAGGGGAACTACTATCGGCTTACTATTAACTACCTAGCACACTAGTGGTTACCTAGTACGTAATCGGATGTGAAGGGTGGCTCGGCTACTAGCTCGTGGGGTAGCTGCTGGAAATGAGGCTTGTGAGGTGTTGGCTCGCTAGCTAGCCGCCTTACTAGTTTACAACTAGTGGACATAGCCTGCGAGTTGGCATTAGTGCGATAGACTATCACGGGTAAGATGGCTACTAGATCGGCATTAGCATGAAGGAGTTGTGGGTGAGGTTGTTGGTAAGAGGCTATAGGGACTATGTTGGTGAGGCCGTGGGATATGTTACGAGGGGCCGTGTTAAAGAGCCTATGAGGTGTGCTCGGGCAAGAGGCTATGGGTGTGCTTGGGTAAGATAGTTAAGGGGTTGTGTTAGTGAGACTACGAGGTGTGCTTAAGCGAAAGGCCGCAAGCATGCTTAGACGAGATGGTCGGAGGCCGTGTTGGCGAGACTACGAGGAATGTTGTGGGGTTTATGTTGGTAAGACTATGAGGTGTTTTGCGAGGGTTGTGTTAGTAAGACCGCGGGGTGTGTTGTAAAGGCAATGTTGGTAAGTGGTTATGTTTTGAGCGAGATAGCTAGATGTACGAGCCCGATGGATTGGGCAAGGGTCTATGATGTGGGAGGCATCGACCCACGGGACATTGCGAAGGAGGCTAGGCATGTGAGGCTTGTGAGGGAGATAAGAAAGAGCTATAGAGTGTTCGTGAGGGAGGTTATGAGGTGATGGGAAGCTAAGGGAGGTCTGGTCGGCTATGGCGAGAAGGAGCTTTTGGGTGAGGTTTTAGTGTGGGATGAGGGGTTTTTGTTGTAGTCGATCGGTGCAAAAAATGAAAGAAGTGATCTACAATTGGTTATACCAAAAAATACAAAGGGCTTTTATAGGTATTTTTGGGTTTTTTAGCAAAGGTCTAATTTGATCCCTAATTTCTTATAACTTACTAATTTACGTTCAATTTTGGTTGTTTGTTTCAATAGGATCCTTAAATTTTAATTAATTAGGATTTTTCTTTTTCTTTTATTATAAGTATGCCCCTTTTTTATTTTAACTAAAGGACAAAGGTTTTCAATTTTTAACCGTATCCTTAATCATTTTTTATTTCCCAAATTTTCTCTCTATTTTTTTAATTAGCCTCCCTCTAAGAACTAATCTAAGCTAATATTTTCAATTAAATTTTTTTTATCATTTTTTCTTTTGAATTGAAAAAATTAGATGTTAATAATTGCTTTTTCTTTATAATACTTACAATTTAAAGTCATTGAAAATGTATTTCTTTGCCTTTATGTAGTAAGCGTATAAAGAAATTTTTTTGAAAGTGGTGCAACTAGCCGCGTCGATTTGAAAGGATACGACGGATCATGTAGATTTTGGGGGACATGATTAGATGTGATGATTTAGAATTTAGAAGGACATGATTGCTCACATCAATTTGAAATTTGGAAGGATGTAATCGGCCACATCGATTTGGAGGGACGCGACTAGCGACATCAATATTAAAGGATATGACTAACCATATCAATTTGGAATTTGAACGGATGTTGCTAACCATGTCAATTTGGAAGGATGTGATCGGCCATATCGATTTATAATTTAGAGGGAAGTGACTGATCACATCCATTTAGAGGGATATGAATAGCCACGTCAATTTAAAAGGACATGACTAACCACGTCAATTTATAAGGATGCCACTAGTCATACCGATTTCAATTTTGAAAGGATGTCACTAGCCATATCAATTTGGAATGATACATCCGGCCATATCATTTTAGAATTTGGAAAGACATGGCATAACTGGTTACATCAATTTGGAATTTGAAAAGACGTGGCATGATTAGCCATGTCCATTGAGAATTTAGAAGGACGTGATTGGCCATGTTGATTTGGATGGATGCGATTGACCATACCGATTTGGAATTTGAAAGGATGTGACTAGCCATATCGATTTGAAGGGACGTGAATGGTCACATCAATTTAGAATTTAGAAGGATATGATTGTTCATATTGATTTGGAACTAGTCGCATTGATTTTGATTTTGGAAGGACATCATTGGTCATATTAATTTAGAAGAATGTGACTAGCTATGCTCGATTTAGAAGGATAAGATTGATCATATCAATTTGGAATTAATAAGGACATGACTAACCACATCGATTTGAAAAGAAGCGACTTGTCGTGTCGATTTAGAATTTATAAGGACGCAATTGACCATATAGATTTGGAAAGACATAATCGACCATATCGATTTGAGAACATGATTGGCCATATCGATTTTGATAAAACATAACTAGTCACATCGATTTTGACAAGACATGAATTGCCACATCAATTTAGAAGGACACGATTGGCCATGCCAATTTAGAATTTAGAAGGACATAACCGGCTACATCGATTTGGAAATACATGATCTGGTTGTGCTATTTTGGAATTGAGGAAGATATGAGTGGCCACGTCAATTAAAAATGATGTGATTCCTAGCTTGTAAATTGCACTTTTCATTATTAAAAGTATAAGTCTTGATCATTCGAACCACACTTCCTCCTTTCCTTCAATAATGCCTTTCATGTTTGAAATTAAAGTGAAAGGCTTCCTACTTTTCTTTAGGCTGGCCTATCCGCACATTATGCCATAATTATTGATTATAAGTCATTTGATCATGTCGATATTATCTTATTATTGTTTAGTGATATGGTGACTTTTCCTTTTCAAACTCTAGATTTTGCCCATCATATCATCGGGTTTTTCCCCTGTGGAAATTTCTTTCGACTTATTAAAATTACTTGTAACATCCCATGATTCATTTTCTAGACAAGCATGATTTGGAAGGTCTCGTCATACTACGGACTTTGGAAAGCCTATTTATCATGTCATCTTTTGATATTTTGAATTGTTTATCATGTTTTATAGATAATATTAATACGAGCATTATACGAAGTACTAAGAAAGTTGGCTTTTAAGGATTGATCACATTAGAGAATGTGTTTTTTTTAAGAAGTGTCAACAAATCATAAATCTAATAATGAGAGGCAATCAAAGAAAATAAGAGATGAAAGAAAATGCTAACACATAAAGTAGATCGACCAAAACTTGGATGAATACTTTATTACTTTGAACCGAAGAAAATTACAACTCATGTGTAATATTGCTTTACAACATCCGAATTCATTAGCTTGGATAATTCGTCACCATCCACGTTAGTCGAATGAGAGTCCACTTGAGAATGCCTTTGTTTTTTTAATCATATGAGACCTTCATAGTTTGGTATCCATTTACTCGATTTGCACTTGATATTTGCATACTTTTCTTTAGTATGAGTTCTCCTTCTTGAAAACTTCTTCGATGCATGTTCTTGTCATATGCTCTAGCCATTCTTTTCTAATATAGTCGGGCATGACAAATAGCAACGAAACCATTTTTTGTTTATCAAATTCAGCTATTCAATCGATTTTTTTGTAATACCCCAAACCTATAAATAAATGAATTAAAATATTTTAAACATATGTTAAAATTTCCTTGTGTGCATATAAAAAATTGCTAGAAGGATGCTAGAATATTCGATGCATTTAAGTGAATTTTTTTATGCTTGATGAATATTTTATTAACTTTTTATGTGTAAATTATGTACTTTTATGTGAAATAATTATTTTGAGTGCCTAAATAAGTTCATAAACATTAGTTTATTGATGAATAAATTACTATAGAAGTGCATGAATTTGTTATGAAAAGAAATTATTTTTCAAAAGTGTATGAAATTAATTATGTGCGAGAGGGATTTAATTGCATAATGTTAGGGACCTAATTGCATAAAATTAGGGATTCAATTGCATAAAATTAAATGTTTTAGCCCTCAAATAAGTTTGAAAATAAATTTTAGGAGGCATAAAGATGTTGAAAAAACTTTAAGAAATGACCAAAAATAGTCAATTAAAATTGAAAGGGCTAAAGGTAGGGATTAAATTAAAATGGTGTGACAAATCGAGGGACTAAAATAAATATTTTGACCAAATATTTCCACCTTAACCCGCCACTTCACCTCCTTAATAAATGAGTGTAATTATTTGACTTACTAAATGGAAGACTAAGATCCACGTAATGGAGGGTTAGGATTTAAAGAAAAATGGATGGAGGAGATTTAACTAAATGAAAGGCTAAGATTAAAAGATGAATTAAGGATGAATATTAAATTAAATGAAGGGTGGAGATCAAGTCAAAACAAGCAAAGGCAACCCAAGCTTACCTATAAATTTAACATGAAAGAGAAGAAGAAAATGATGGAAAAATTTGCAAAATTAGTGCAAACTCTTGCAAACGTTTCCAAGGAAGTTATAAGCTAAATTAAACTAAACACTAAAAACACCCTTAAAACACTCCATTAAGTTTAGAATCATAGTTGGAAGATAAAAAATAATAAGGAGGAAAAATTGCTAAAGTGGTTAAAACTTAGAGGAAGAAAAGTAGAAGATAATTTTACATGAAAATTCATCCTAAAAAGGTCTAATTTAAAGCATTAAAGGTAAGTTAATCTCACCTATATCATAAGAACTTATTATTTCATATGAATTATTGAATTTGCACATTTAATTCAAGTTTAATGGAATTAATTGAAGAAATTAGTGTTAGGGTTCTTGAGCATAAGAATTAGGAGAAATGGATTAAAGGTTGAAATTAATAAAGCTGAAGTTGGAATATACTAGTTAAGCATGAAAATAAGTAGCAAACAATGCAAATTTTCCTAGCCTAATTAAAAAAGAAAGTTTTGGTCAAAATAATGATTTTTAGGGTTTATGGTACTTTTGTTTTATTGATGTTTAATTGATTGAGAACATGTTATTGTATTGCAATTAGATGATTTAGCTTGAGAATTGACACTAAAATTAAAAAATCCACTTAGTTTAACCTAGGCGTACATTCGACCAAATCAAGAAAATTTAAGGTTTTTGATGTTTTTGTTTTATTGATGTTTAATTGATTGATTACATATTATTAAAGTATATTTAGATGATTTAGCATAAAAATGGGCATAAAAAACAAAAATCTACCTTGCTTAAACTAGGTGCATATTCGGCCAAGTAAGAAAAAAATTAGGGTTAGTAGCGTAGTTCATATATAATGATATTTAGATGAATGAAATAAAGAAGTTAAGCTAATTAGATAGGTTAATGTATGAAATTGATGATGGCTTTATAATTAACATTGTGCATTAAATGTGTCTAAGGCATGCAAATATGTATTTATGTCATGGTTGCCTATGTTATGGAAGTTATGAAATTGATGACTTACATGGATGCAATGTCTTGTTGATTGATTAATATTGCTAAATGTCATGTGGTATGGTACAATATGTTAAACGTTCCATTGTTTGGATTATGTGCCGTGAATGAATTGTGATGGATTGAAAGATAATGGATTTCGATGTGTATTTTATTATATTGAGGTATGTAATTTCATTACATAAACACACACTCATTCATGGCATGTATTACATCAATTCATTAAGTTATGCATTTGAACGTAAATCCATGTGTATGCCAAATCATAAAAAGGATTTTCCTTCATGATTTTTTAAAGAAAAAGGAAAAACGTTTTCATGGCTTTCATGATCTTCATGGTTTTCATAGTCCTTGACATTTCCTTCATCAAGGGAAATGGTAATAGCCTCGATTGAAGAATTTCTTCATTGGAGGAATTGGTAATGGCTCCTAGCTGACAAGAAATGGCATTTATTGTC